ATATTTTATATTTTAATAAACTTATATCTTGTGCTGTAATATTGCGGAATATTATTAAATATTGTTTGATACTGTGTTAACTACTCTTACTCCACCTTACTCACTGTGCCTTCATGATTAATTAATTAATTATTTGATTATTATTATTATTTATTATATATTTATTATCTGTTTCGAGATAAGCCAGTTAAATTGATTGTATTAGCTGTGACCTACTGGCAGATAGAGCGCATTATTATGTTTGTGTGATGCAAACTTTGAGACTGATTTAAGAAATTGTTCAAATACTCTGCACAGTGATGACATTATCTTGATCTTGTATGCCATCCTGATCTTCAGAATTTTCATTATTATCTTAATTTGACCTGCAATAGATAATGTTGAAGTCAACAGGATTAGCATATATTTCTGAAAGAAAACGGTCATACAAATCCATCCTTGAAAGAGTACCATTCTCTGTGAGTTTTAAAAAATCTCTATAGCACACATGAAGAACCTTCACACAGCAGAAATCTTTCCATTGATGACCATTTCTTACTGAAAAAGGGCAAGACCAGATACATAAAATATTTTCATTTTTACACCTTACCCACTTTGCTCTTACTCACTTATATTGTAAATTTAATTTGAAAAGTAAAAAGGCTTGATATTCAGCAGGTCAATTCCAGTATTTTTGTAAAGGTGAGAAACTTGTTCTCCTATTTTTGTTATTATTATACATAAGAATGCAGTTTGCTTTCCTATTAAGATTGAAAATAACAAAATTTGATTGCAATGATATAAAGGTATTTGGAGAAGAAGGTGACAAGATTCTTATAGAGAAGCCATGTTCTGCTATTGTGTAAAGTAATAATTTTTGAAATACTTTTAAAGCTGGGTCATTAGATGCATTATTAAGAGTTTTATCTAATATCTCTAAAAAAGTCATAGATCACATTTCAGCCTTGTTAACATACTTAGAGACATGTTTCAAAGTAGCATGAATTGTGAGAACGAGCTTCAGATCAACATTTGAAATCACCCTTGAAGTTGGATGCGATTGTGAGAATTTATAAGAGGATAATTTCTAGCTGTAACTAATTTCAGGTAGCCATCACTTTTGTGTATAGTTGTTTGACTACATAACTCTTTGGAGAATTCAAATTTTTATACTTGCTTGTCTGTTTTTTGTTTATTCGTAAACAAAAAGAAGTGCTGCAATTTGTATGCCGTTGTAATTTGTTTGTTAATTCAGCATAACCTTGCAAGCTATAATCAAGATCTTTCATACATTTTTGACATGGGTAATGACTAGGTGGAAGTGTATTTAGACTAGAGTTCATTGTTATTACTAAAGAATCGAGGTAACACATTACTTCTTCCATTTTTTCTTAATTATTTCTCATTTCTTCCCATTCAATTTTAGGTGCTACTTTTTGCTTTACGATGCCATATACGTGAATGCTGCCACGACGCTGCCATTCAAAATGGTATCACTAAACTACCAATCCCCATTTAAGTATTAGTACCTTCTCAAAAAATATCTTAAATCATTTTTCAAAATACCATACAGTAATATGAGGATTGTTTATAAGATCTTTACATCAGCATTTTGCAGCTTCCTGTTTTGTCTCTCCTTCTGCAAGATTTTCTTCACCAGACATAAGTTTGTGCAGATCGGGCCAGTAAAAATCAGTCACACTAAAAGTAAAGAATATCATTATACATATAATAAATTACATAACAATGTCCAAAATCTCAGATCGAAACAAATTCTGATTCAAAATTATCAATAAATTACTCGCATCAATGAAAACTTAATTCCTTAACTAAAATATCTATCAATTACCACCGTTCATACAAATATTTTATTAAATTAGCAAAAAAAATGATATCATTAATCACAATGATACACTTATCTAACAACCAACCAAAAACAGTACCTAATACCCTAAACACCAAATCAAAACAATCAAAAATAAATACCTAAATATATCAATCTGATCAATTATACACAGGATCGCACTGGACTGGTCCTGCGCGGAATCACATGATGTGCAGCTATCCCTTATAGAATTGATAATTTAAAAGTGGATGTTTTAACATTTTTCAACACAGTTATGATGGAATCTAATAGGAGAGGATATCCTCCTGTAAATATTCCCAATTGAACACTAATCATGAACACAAAATATAACCTTAATAAGGTCAAATAACTTGTGTATGCGTAATAATGTTATATCATCATTAAATAAAGGAATGAATGTATTAAAGTTATTGAATGAAATTTGAGTTCTTATTGTGATAATAAATGAGTGAATTGCATGCCTGTTTAATTTTTAGTGAGAAACAAATTAAAGCAGTAATTATGGAGCATTAAATTGAATAAAAAAAACACTCTTATATTGTCCTAATGGTTTGAGAGGATGGAAACAATGCATAAAAAGTTTTACATCGTTAGATTCAGTGTACAGAGCGTAGCAATATAAATCGATATTGATAAGAAGTGTTCCTAAAGCCTTAAGGAATTATAAATGTGACACATCACGGACATAGAACAATAGTAATTTTTTTCATGTCATATATAGAGGATAATCCAAAAAACGAAAATTTTTGCACGCATTTTATTTATAAAGAATATGATTTCTATTCATGAAGGATAAAGTAAAAAAAGGGAAACTTTTGAAGAAATAAATTACAATACTATTTACACAGAACAAGAAAAAGCTTCCGATGAAAAAAAATAAATAAACAAAATAACAATCAATAATAAATACTCGTTGCAAATTCTAATCTTCATATTTATAAATTTTGTATATTGTTTTTATATAATAATACTTGCTCTTATTATTTTTATCTATTATTTTATTACAATCCATATAAATAAATTTATCGAGATTTTAGTGAATGTACAAAGTTAAATGACATTTTCAATAGGGGAATTTGTAATATAGATGAAGAATCAGCAGAAACATGAATAATTACCTAATTAGGTAAAATAAAGTTATAAACAATTTATTAGAGTTCGATCAACAATATAATAAATTATAATATTTAATGATATTTAGAATATAAACCTATTTATTATTTATTTAATTAATTATTGAAATGGCACAATTATACTGATTAAAATTTCAAGTAAATTTAAAATGGTATTTGACATACTGATGCATTTTTGTCTTGCGAAAGCTCCCCTTAAATCATGATCGCTAAAAAGTTGTAACGATTTTTTACAAAATCTCGAAATTTATTTGGTGAACCGGAAACTGTGAGCGATTCCACATACGTATCTGTATGCTTAATTAACTGATCCTAAGATCGGCACTATCGTTATATTAAAATTTGGGGCGAAATTCAACGTTTCGCACACAATTGGCAATAAACACACAGACACTATTATCGCGAAAACTTATCTATATCTTGTGAAGATCACACCATATATGTATAAAAACCTAAGGAAAAAGAATAAAATAGAATAAACAAAAAAATTTGCACATAAGTTTGCATTGTGCGATCATCAAATTCTACAATAGTGCCGATCTTAGACGGATTGGCAATTAATAAAATATTATTTTGTGGAAATGTAAAATGAAACCCTTACCCGCAAAATTGAGTAAAAAATGTCTTTCTAAAATAATCCAATAAGTAAGTTAAACCAATACACTTTTTCTGAAAATTTAATTAAATCTTCAGCACGATTTACAAACTATCTGATAATCTACCAACCAAGAGAACAAATCAATTTTGACAATGAATTGTTTCTAAGAAAATGTATAATTCGGTAAAAAATAATAAAAAATAAAAAAAAAAATGTAATAATTTATTTAATAATAGTGATTTAAAAAAATATTAACAACAACTTGTAAATAATTCATACCTTCATCAAATGATGATATTGGACGATAGCCTTTAGTAGATTCAATAGATAATTCTTGAAGTAATTCTGTGAGCTATTCTCTAGATAATACTAATTCTCTAAGTACTCCTTTAGATAATATGCCAAATTCTTTGAGTTCTTCTAGTAAATGATAATGAGTAAAAGATAGAATTTGAAAAAAAAAAAACTTGATTTAGGTCTCGGACTTTTAAACCAAATTTTCTTCTCACGTTAAAATTAATATTCTTGAAATAATATTGTAACAAAGCTCGACCAAAACATTTTTCTTATAAATTTTACTGGCGTAAATTAACTTTTTTAATTTCTAGATGGATTTTTTGCTATGAATGATCCTTAACGGAAGCAAAAAATAAATTCTTCATCCACTTGTTTTGAAGAATGAGGATTCTTTTTTTTTGTTTCAGTTGGGTACGGATTTTTTATCCTGTGCCCACAGAGGTTAGGTTTGTCAGGGGTAGAGTATTTATCACCGTGTGTCACACCTTTCGAATAAACGACAACGTCCCAATTAGGAAAAGTTGCATTATTTTCCCCTAAAAGAAAATATGTAATATACAATATTTATAAAGTATTCAATATAATATTACGAGTCATTAATTTGTATTCCTTTTTTTTTTTTTATATACAAGAAATTAACTTGATTTTAACTTGAAATTTAATTTATGATGTTGTACTGTTTAAAAATTCCTATAATAACGCATAAAATCTTATTCGATAAAAATTTATTGATACACAAAATTTTTTTTTTTAATTTAAAAAAAAATAAACTTCCACCTTACGTACAATAAGCGAGCAGAAAATGTCTATAATATGCCTAGAATGCAATGAAAAATATAATGTTGATGATCGGTGGTGCAAACCATGCAACTCGACACATTTTAAAAATGATTTTGATCAATGGACGAGCGGAAGTGGTACAATAAATAAACTTATTCAAGATACTCAACTAAATGCTGATTATGAAAAAGTAATAGAATGGATACCTTATGATAGATTTCAAGACATTAAACAAATAGCAAAAGGTGGTTTTGGTACTATTTATTATGCTAAGTGGATTGATGGATATATTATCAATTGGGATATTGAAAATCAACAATGGGCTAGATTTGGTCAACGTGAAGTGGCATTAAAAAAGTTTGATGGTATTGTAGATATAAATGAGGATTTTTTAAATGAGGTAAAGTAAGATTTTAAATTTATTTGAAATATATAATATATTAATTATAATTTGAAAAAAAATTTATTTAGATGGTAATTTTCTTGAGAACAAATGGTGAATTTTCATCAGCCTATATTTATGGAATTACAAAAGATCCAGAAACTCACGAATATATTATGGTTTTATTTTATTATTCAGGTGGAAGTCTTAGAAATTATTTAAATAATCATTTTAATAATATCAATTGGGGAAATAAATTAGAACATTTAAAAGAATTAGCTTATAAATTTTCAAACATTCATAAATTAGATATAGTTCATCGTGATTTTCATCCCGGAAATATTTTAAAAGATAAGCATTATATATATATTTCAGATTTTGGATTGAGTAAATTAATTACAGCTAATATAAAAAATCACCAAAAGAATACCATTTCTGGAGTATTACCGTATATAGCTCCTGAAGTATTAAGTGGGGAAGAATATACAAAGGCTGCTGATGTTTATTCATTCGCATTTGTTGCTTATGAAATCATCACTGGACTTCCCCCGTATCACGATGTGGCGCATGATAAAGATTTGGCTTTGAATATATGTAATGGATTTCGACCAAAAATTCCATTTCACATGCCTAAATTAATTACACAAATAATCATGCGATGTTGGGATGCCCGAATTACACATCGGCCCACTTTTGATGAATTATATAAAAAGTTGGATAAATACTATGAAGATTATCGTGAAAATAATAAAAATAATAATAATGAAATTACGATTCAAATTAAAGAAGCTGAAGAGTTTTTCAAAAATCAAACAACAACTACAGCTCCAACATATTATAAAACACATCCGCAAGCAATTTATACCAGTAGACTTCTCAATTTTTCAAATCTTCCAAAACCTAAAAATGAAAACAATTTCGAAAGAAAACTTGAAGAAATAACAGAATCTTTTTATCAAATAAATTCTAGTAAGGATCAATTATATTTTACATTATATTCATTTTCATTTCATAATTAATTATTTATTTTTTAATTTATTTATTCTTTATTTTTTAATTAGATGATGATGATGATTTGAATACATCTAATTTATAAATTTTATTTAAATTATCAATCATATTTTTTATTTGAATTTTACTCATAAATTATAAGGCATTAGTTATTAATTTTTTTTTGATATTACACTAAGTATAGAGTTCGTAATTATAATTTTTTTATTAAATTAATATTGCAATTTTTTTATATATTACAAATAATGAATGTATTTTTTTATTTTCTTTTTCTGGAAAGAATGCTTTTTTCCTATTTTGTAGATTTGTTATAAACGCTTGTGTGGTTCTTTATCAGCTCGGAATTAAAATAATAAAAATAAATTAAATTAAAAAATAAAAAATAAAAAATAAAAAAATAAAAAATAAAAAATAATAATAAAAAATAAAAATAAAAATATTTTATTAATTCTTTAATTATTATATATTTCTTTATCATGTTTATGGATATATTTATATACTTTATTTAACGAACATAATCTTTTCTTGAAATCTTCAGTGATTTGTAATTGATCAAATCAACTTTTGTAATTATTGATTAATTCTTCCCGTTTTTTAAAGCCTTCTTGTTCGGACATAGTTTTCTTTATTGCTTCAAAATTATTCTTTCCTTTCTTCTTTTCGTATTTATTGTTATTATTTTTTTGTTTTGTTTGTCTCATTTATTGATGTGGAAATTTATTATCGCTGATTTATTATTATTACTATCACCATCATCTTATATATATTATCCATTACACCCATCAACAACAACAAATAGTCTTATATGTCTGAGGAATATCAAATACTGCTGACGATGAAGATAAAGATGTTGCAGTTACTCGCTGATGATGGTGATGATAAACCACAGAATTGCCATTTACATTATTTTCGAGAATTTTCACTAGAGTTCGACGTTATTGTAACCATTATTATTAGTTGATATAGATTTTAAGGCGTATTTGATAAAGAATAAGTAGTTGACTTTCGATCAATCCATGATGAAAGAACTTTATGAAAATATATATAATTATTATAACAGAAAAACCTCAGCTTTCAGATTCACTAAAAATTATTTTTGATAAAAAAAGAAGTTTCCTTAGTGGCAACTGCATTTATATATAAAATCTATTTTCATTCACTGATTGGTATCCGGATCACGAATTAATTAAAATAATAAAAGTAAGATTATTTATATTAGCCAAAGCCCCAGTTTCCTTATTCATCTTTCGAATAAACAAATTAAAAACAAACCAAAAAAATAATCCAAGATGAATTTAAAACTCAGCGTCTTTTTGTGTGCTTTATTCACTATTGCCTCTTCGCTGAAGCAAAAGCAGGTCGCAGCTGGTCACGTAACGCTAAGAAGAACTTAAATAATAATTTAAATGTTTCCAAATGTAAACTGTAATATATTATTTATTAATAGTTCGTAATTCAAAAGAGAACAGAAATGATTGCAATATTTTTTTATATCCTTATTTTGTTAAGTGAAATTTCGTAATAAATTTTATAAAATTTTTAATTAAAAATTTTAAATTAATTTATGATTTTAACCTTTGCCGTGCTGAATTCATAAATAATGATAAAAATGTTAACTATCTTATACCAATTTGTAGTCTGAAATAACACCTATAATTTTACTTGATATTTAATAATTTTTAGTGAAAATTAAAACTTTACTGTTTTTTCTAGGTTTCCTCAAAAGGGCACGTGTATAAAGTTCTCATTAAAAAATTAACGTGCCCGGAAAATTCTTCAATGTATTACGTTAGACAGGTCGTATAACGGAGATTTAAGCGTCGATTAAAGTTTAATGACAACTATTGCCTAATTTGTCAATCTCTATATTAATAATGAACATATGATTATGTCACTTGAGCATAATCATTTATTTTTATACCCAAAGTTTAATCTACGCCACGGAATAACTAGAATGATTTTTCAATAAATTGAGGTTTGATTGTGCGAAAATTTTTTAAATAATAAAAATGACTAATTCTATCTCAAGAACTTCTTAATGACAAAAAAGAACATAATGTTATCATCGAAGTTGATAAAGAAAAAAGAAAGAAATCTTTTACCGCATACTCAGTTGTCTTACGCTATCGTTCATCACACTTTGATAAAGAATTAGAGAACGTTCCCACGAATGAAAATCATATCAAAACTATTATTAAACCAAATATTTCTGCTCAAATATTCGAAATTATTCTTAAGTAAGTTAAAAAAAAATTATTAAATACTTTAAATACTAAATTAATTATTTCGTGACTCGATATTGATAAAATAAAATACATTTAATATATCTATGGTGGAATTGTCGATACAGTATATGCCAGCGAATTTGAACTTAAAGATCTATCAGAAAAATTAGAAAGCTACCTTATCGAATCTAAAGTTTCTTGGCTAAAAACTCATTTCTTCCTTGTTTATCATTCAATTTTTGATAATAATGAATTTAAAGGGTTGAAAAATTTTTATAATGATATTATTGCAAAGTATCCAAATTTGATGTTTGAATCGGAAGATTTCACTTCACTCCACGAAACAGCATTAGTTTCTATTTTGAAAAAGATGACTTGAATGTCGAAGAAATTAAAATTTGGGATTATGTTATCAATATCAAATGGGGAATTGTACAAAATCCCACTTTACCCGTTGATTCGGAAAAATGGTCTAATGAAAATTTCGAGGCTTTGAAATTAATACTACAATACAGTTCACCACATATTCGAATTTTCATATTTCTGATGAAGATAGTTGGGAGAAAGTGAAGCCCTACGAAAAAATCCTTGATAAACAGCTTTTGGATGACATGATCCAACGTCATATGTTCCCAAATAAATCTGTTAAATCGTTTATTTTCCAGCAAGAATCATTTCCGTTCCTGAATTACCTTCAAGAACCATTTCAACCCCTGAATTACCTCCAAGAACCACTTCAGCTCCAGAATTACCTTCAGGAACCATTTCAACCCTGAATTGCCATCGAAAATAAATGACTCATTCTTAACTATAATCAACAAAGAACATGTTGTCAACTTTCATCAAGAATTGATCGAAAATCAACTCTTATTCTTCATCAAATATACCTTATAAATTTCATTTAATTCTTTGAGGAAGTAAGGATGGTTTTCATCCCATGAAATTTTGGAACATGTGCCATGGACATGCTGGTACTATTGTGGTTGCAAAGATTGCGGTTATAATCCTTTAGCTTGGGATAATTCAATAAGGGATATTGATATAGAAACAAATGATAGTTTCATTTTTTCGTTGAAAAATGATAAAATTAAAAATTCAATTCTCAGCGAGTCGTAGATAGTTGAACAAAATATTTATGGTCCAAATTTGGCATTGGTAAATTATGATGAGATCAAATGTTTCTAATTTTATTAAAGATAATGATATAGTACTTGTTATGAAAACCTATTAGAAAAACTAATAAAAGGTTTTCTATTGTGGATTAGGAAGTATTTAAGATTATTAAAAAACAAAATCCAAATTGTACGATTAGACAATATAATCCCATTATTTAAATAGTTTACATATTTTAATGATAATGAAATCTATTTATTAAATAAATTAAAACATCATCACTATATTTGCTCAAAATTGAAATTAACCGACAATGTAATACGTTAAAACTGAGTTTTCTTTTCTTGTTTTTGTGTTATGGCGCATGGGCTACTTTATTGGTTGAATTTCATAAATTTTTATCATATGACTAAATGCAAGGGTACAGAGTAAAAATTTGTTGCCCTGTGTCACACCTGCTGATTAAAAATCCTGGGGATTTGGAATTTTTTAGCATGTGAAAACTACAGTATATTTGTCACCCCTTATCTGTCACCAAAAACCCTGCGGGTGCGTTAAAAAACAAAACCCTTCTATGTTATCGTTTGATCTTACTTTAATAGAAATTTTTATTGATAAAAAAAAAGATATTTTATATCAGTTCAAATATCTGAAATTATTCAATTCGCAAAAAATATTTGAAAAATTGGAGAAATCATTGTTTATTTATAGTCATCTAAATAGTAATAAATCTTCATTTACATTTACAAAATCATTATACTCTTTAATTTTACATTATGTCTAAATATCTTTAAAATCTATCAAATATAAGGTAACCATTTATTATTATTTCATCATTTTGAATATATTTTTTTGAAATGTATGGCACTTTCCATCGCTGTTTCTGTTCAGAGATAAGTAATATTTTCACATGACATTTATTCACTTATTACGTGTTTTCTAAATACAAATATGTATATAAGAAGAAATCATAAATAAATTTATAATTATAATTTACTCACCGTGTCAACAAAGATGACTTTATATAAATTGTTCTGGTTTTTTCACAAGTAATTTTTCGATCTAATTTTAATTCTTTATATAATTAATTACTAATTAATTAATTAATTTTAAATAATTAATTAATTTAATTATTCATTAATTTGTATTTTCAATTGTGGCAATCTAAATTATAATTAATTTAATTTAATTAATGATTCTTTTTTATAAGCTAAAAATTTTTTTTTCTACATAATAATCTAAAAACAAGTAATTTATATAAATAAAATATATGTATAATGGTAATGGCGCAGTAAATTTCAAATAATAAAGATTAGTTATTGATTATCAAAATTAAAAAAAAATTGAATTTTTTAAAAATTTTCTAAAAATATTTCTTTTATGACCTTTTTTTGACTTTATCATAACAATTATAAAATTTTACGAAATTCAAACTTAAATATTTTTTAATATTATATGTACAGTATATAAATTTTGAACTTTTTAGGATATGATTTCATTAGTACAAATTTTGTGGCGTAGTTGAGCATAGTCTTTTAACATAATAATATTAAATAAACATGTAAAATATATCTCAGAGTTATTATAAAAAAAAATTTATAATTTTTAAATAAAATTTAAAAAAGTTTATATGGAGGAATTCTACATTCAAAAAAAATACTAAAAAATTAACCTGTTCAGAAAAGAATCGTCAATTAACAATATCTGATATATTGAACAAACTTTTATCCTTAATATTTTTAATATTTTTAATAAATTTAAAATTAATATAAATTTTCGAGAAAATGACTTAAAAATTTAATAATTTTTAATAAAGTTTTAATGACAAACCTTTGATTAAACTACCGAATTATACAATTTGTATCGTAAATTAGGTATTTTGAAAGTTCAACATCCAGAAATTTTGATAAGCGAAAATTTGTTCAAATTTCTGACACCTGCGAAAATTCCCGACTTCGCTCGCGATTTTCTACTAGGATAATTCTAAGATAGAAAGAAAGGCCTTGTTATTGACTACAAAATAGTATGTATTTATCACGGTAGAATCGATATTCGCAGAGTTATTCCAGTTTAAATGAAAAACGTCCGTGAAAATAATGTGAAAATCTTTCGCAAATTTTCGCCCGATTTTTTCACGGACGTTGTAGCCAAGAACAAGGCCTTTCTTTTTACCTTAAAAATATCTTGGTAGAAAATTGCTCAACGTTTCGCAAATCGCGAGCGAAGTCGAAAAAACGTAAAAAAAACTCGCGAAAATATCCGGAAATTTTCGCCCACTAAATTTCCTGATGAATATTATCCTTTGAAAAAGTTTTTTATAAACACAACTAATTCAGTGTGAACAATAATTTATTCACCTCTTAACCTTGTCAAACAAATGCATTCTAGATAGAATTCCCCTTTAATTGTGAATATTCATAATGTATTATTTTATTAATTTACTTTTATTTTATTTTTATATTTTTTTTGAACCAACGGAACCTTGCAAAAATTGTTATATGCATAACTAATTCAACAAATTGTTTTTATTAATTTATGCTTTTCATTTTCCGTTATTTAACATTCATCGCTTTGCCTTTACTAGTGATCTATATTTATTTATATATTTGAACTTGTTTTCTTACCTTTTTACTTTGCTAATTCCTCTTTTCCTAGTTTTGTTTAATTCGTATTTCGTGCAACAACCGGGGGTCAGGTTAAGTTTTCTCTTATCATAATTGAACAATTATTGATCACAGGTGCATATGTGATAGAGTTAATAGTTTATTAATTATACCAATTGACAATTTTGATAATAATAAGAAGCTTTTTTGTAAAATATTAAAGGAGTTATCAAATAAACAGTGAATTCAGTAAAATTGTAAAATTTTCGTGAAAAAAAAAGAGAATAAAAAAATATCAAAAAAATTGAGATGCGAGTTTATTAGATATATGGGGAAAACATGTTGAATCAAAAGTACAAAAGATAATTCTAAATAATTACGATTTTTTTGATGTTCTGGTAAAAAAAACAAAAACAAAAGTACTTTTATTTTTTCACAAAAAAAAATAAATAAATAATAATAATACTGTAATGCAAGTTTAAAAAAATATTATTATTGAAATAGGTTACCGAAGTATATAAGCATAATCTTTTAACCTTAATTGTAAGATTACGTAGTTAATTTATTAACCAATATTCAATTATAACAATCTTTTTTTTTAAGTATATATTCGGAAATTTTAATTAAAGTAATTAAAAGTAATTAGAATATTAACCAATCACAAATTTAAACAAATTATGCAGTTCATGCGTCCTTAATTAAATTACTTTAATTAAATTTAATAACAACTTCGTTTGATAATTATTTCATTGCTTTGATTTCTTCATTTTTAGATTCATTTTTTTTTTGATTTTATGAATTGTAGTAAATGGCAATGATAATGAGAACCCACAGAGTAGCAAATAATAATAATAATAATAGCAAAATTGGTTTCGAAACAAGAGAATTTGCAGAGGGGTGAATATTGTAACATGAATTATTTTTGTTCTTGTTGTTCGTAAATTGTGGCGCAGAAAAGAATGAATTTATTCAAGTCTAAGATCGGCACCATTCCATTTTATTATGTAAAATCTGGGTTAACTTTAATGCACAAAAAATTGGCAAGATTCGTTTGTTTAAGATGTAATCTGGCTAATATCGACGTTAGACACATGTTCATTTATAAACCACGTTTTATTAAAGGTATGAAAATTTATAAGATGGTTTATTATAGGAGAAAATATTTTTGGTCAATCGCTGATTTAGAAAATTCATGGTTAGCCAGATCATGTCTTAATTCATTTCGATTTGTTTATTTTATGGATATCTAATTTTATTTTCAAAAAAAATAAACCACAATGATCGTTAATTAATCGCTTTGTCATAAACAAGAACAAAAAAATAATAATAAAATTAGATATAACGCAATATTGTACATCGTCATTATGTATTTGTTTTATCGTATTTGATATGTTCGACATAAGTTTTTCATTTGCATATCCTCCTTAATGAATATGCCAAATAGAGATCTACTTGGGGTAAAGAATTTCTTTTTTCAGGTTACTCAAAATATACTGTGCATTTCTTTGTGCTATTTGTATTTCACCAACAGATATATTTGGATATTCAGATATGTTACTGGAATATTCTAAAATATATATGTATAATTTGGAAATTAGTATAGTACGATTACGAATTTTAGTATAGTACGATAAATTATCATAGTATATACAATTATAATAATAAAAATAATAGTACGTATAATAATGTTAAATAAAATTTTATTATACTAAATAAAGTAATTATTTGCTGCAATAGTAATTCTGGCCGTAATGCCGTAATTGTCATATATAAAATCGAAATAATTGTCGATTGTTACTACGTATAAAACATTTTATTTTAATAAGTAAATATCAAAAAGGGTACTAAGCAATCTTAAAGAAAAGAATAATTTTCATATTATATAAAAAGACCAGACCTATATTATCAAAATTGAGAGAATAATCAGTAGTTAGATTTCGAACAGGTGAAACTTTTAAACGACAATTTTTCACTCAATTTTGATGAAATAAGCCTGCATTTCTTATAGAAGATGTTATTAATTTTTGTCTTCGAGGTTACTTAATATCGTTTTTAATTATTCATTTATAATATAAAAAGTTTTATATGTAGCAACGATCGATGATTTTGTTATTAATTATTATATATAAATATATACAAAATCTTCGATCTTTGCTACAAATAAAATTTTTTATATTATAAATGAATGTCCAAAACAGTATTAAATAATCTCAAAGATAAAAATTAATTACATCTCTTGTAAGAAGTGCAGGTCTATTTCATTAAAATTGATCAAATAATTGTCATTTTAATGTTTTTTTCGCCCGTTCGAAATTTAACTACTAATTGTTATCTCAGTTTTGACAATATAGGTCTGTACTTTATATATAATGTGAAATTTATTCTTATCTTTAAGGCTACTTAGTACTTGTTTTGACATTTACTTATTAAAATAAAAATATCTTATATGTAGAAACTATCGACAATTGTTTCGATTTTATATATAATTATATTATGACATAATTACGGCATTACGGCCAGAATTATTATTACGACAAATAATTACTTTAGTTAGTATAATAAAATTTTATTTAACATTATTATACGTACATACTATTATTTTTATTATTATTTGTAAAAGTAATTTCGGGGATTTTTGTAATCGTACATACTAAGATAATATACCGAAAATCTTATCGTACTATACCAAAATTGGCAATCGTATCGTACTTAACTAATTTGCTATATTACCCATACTAAGTTAATTCCGAAAATCTTATCGTACTATACTAAAATTCGCAATCGTACTATATATTACCGTATAATTTGATTAATTATTGATCCGAATTAGTACCAATAAAAATTCTTCTATGTAAATTCCCCGGATTATTATTAAATCTTACAAAACAACCAATCACTCGAACTCAATAAAGATGTTAATCGATTTTATTATAAATTATTATTAAATCTTACAATACAATAAATATTCGCTTGAATACTCAATAAGTTCAATAAAGATGTTATCCACAAAGAATCGATTTTATTATAAATACACAACCTTTTACCTTCATCCTTTCACATCCCATTCGGCCCTCTTCTCAAGTTTTCCTTACAAAAAACAATAGTTAGGTTGTTATTGTTTGTTTCTTAATACATAGCTCTCTCGCATAACAACTCATACATATTTATTTTTGCATTTTCATAACATTTTCATATTTTTTTCGCATTTTATCGCACAAATAAAACAAATCATCTAATATTACAATTTATCAAAAATGCAATTCTTAAGTTCACTATTCCTTTTGGCTTCCCTTATTTACTCTGTCTCCGCTCATACCACAATGTCCTACCCTCTTCCTAGGAGTCATATTTTTAATCCCAATACTCTCTTTAAAGATTATACTTGCCTTACATCTCCTTTGAATGGGGGTGTAGGTTGTTTGCCTAAACCTTTCCCTTGTGGTGGTTACCCAGTTGATACAAAATTTAGTACTGTTCTTATCGCTGGTCAAAAATTTAATGTAACATTTTATAATCCCGCTGCTCCAAATCCTGATTCTAGTACTGATCAAGCTCGTCATAATGGTGGTTTATGTGAATTTGCATTATCATATAATGGTGGTAAAACCTGGACCAAAATTGCCACTTACCACAAAACATGCCCTGACGTTTTGTTCGGATGGACAGTCAAAATTCCTGAAAATGCTCCAACTTGCGATACACTTGGTCAATGTATATTTAGTTGGTCCTGGATAAATGCTGCTGGAAATCTCGAATTCTATCAAAATTGTGCTGACGTTAAAATTATTGGAAAATCCATTACACCATTACCAGAAATAGATATTACCAAAGCCAATTTACCTGACTTTGAAGATGCTTTTTTCCCTGAAGGAGATCCATCAAATTCTGGAAATGCGAAAGGTTCAGGTCCACTTGCTAAAGATATTGCTGAAAATTTAAAACCTTTCCCAACAAAGCCAGAGCCAGAATATGCATCGGAAACAATCAAATGTGTAGAAGACAAGAAAAGTCCTTATTATATTGTTTATAATAATGGAAAGAAAACTACCCATAAATGTAAAGGTACTAAGGTATGCCACCAAAAAGATAACAACATCGTCTGTAAAAAATAGATTAAACATAATAATCACTTAATTCTGAGCAAGTCGTATCTCAAAAAAAAGCTATATATTTTTTATTTTATTTTTTTTATTTATTTATTTTTTAATTTTGTAACACATTGTTTAACTTGGAAATGGTTTTGGGGGAAAAAGAAGTTGTAAAAAAAAAATTGCAATATTAAAAATTCTCGGAAAACTTTAGAAGTGTAATAATAATTTTTAATTTAATATATAATTTAATTCTCATTTTATAAAATAGACAAAATTAATTAATAAAAGATTCAAGTGAAAAGAACTAAATAATATAATTAAAAATACACATGTCCCATTATTTTTTTTTTCATTTCTTGATCGGAAAACATAATCTAAGTCACATGCATGCACAAGAAAGTATTAATATCACCGTCAATAATCACGTACATATTATTGTACGCATAGGCAGTGTTGTCAAAGGAACAATGTCGGGACAAAAATTTTTTTTTTTATAAAATGTAAATGCACAAAATTTTATTAAAAAACCCTACCTTGGGCTATTAATTAAAGTTGTTTAAAATTGATTCATATATATATTATAAAGTTTTAATATCCATTTTTAGGTTAGTTAAGGGAAGGACAATGAGACATGGGACATAGTGACAGTAAAAAAAAACAGGGACATGTCTTGTGTACAACATTGCATATAGGTGCAGACATTATTATTTAACAAATAAAAATTTTTTCTTAATATAAAATTATTTTTAAATTACAGAAAAAAATTCATCTCGATTTCAAATCAAATTTTACTATTCATGTTATACTTTGGTTTGAATACAAAATGACAAAAAAAAAAAGTAGTAAATTTGGTTCCATTTTCTAAATATTATATATATATATATTTTCTATATTCCTTGAAGAAAAATATCAAGAAAAAAATTTAAAAACTCAAAAAACAAATTGTCAAATGCCAAGTCACATGCATGAAAAATGACTAAATCTACTTTATTATTAACTTTAATTAACAAAAGAAGTAAGAAAGTATTATTAATATCTAGAGAATAGTTAAATTAAGGGAGGAAATAGAATAAAAATAATGAATAAAGAGAATGAAATATTCTGCTTACCATCATCTTGAACTGCTGTTCTATTTTTCAAATCATTATTACTGTGGTGATGATGAAGGATTGATAAGATGGTATGAAGATGGCAGTGCAGAAAACATGTGGTGTGGGAACACAAATGATGAGAATGATGAAGTACAAATGATGGGAATGATGGAAGGAAGGAAAAATGATGAGAGAGAAATATAAAAATAGCAGTAGTAAAAGAAAGAAAAGAGAGTTCCTTTTTATAGCATTTTCTTAAGAAATTAATAGCACTTTAATCTTTTATTTTTATCTTTTTCTTTAATAATTAAATAACTATAATAACATTTATGAATAGTGATAAACATAGCAATAATTATACAATAAGTGCTAGAAGTAGTGACAGAATAGAAACACACCATTGTAATATTTTGCTGTTCAACTTCTAATAAAATTTTCTTTTACTGTTCAATCATAAATAAACATTTTATCTCTTATAAATCTGTTCTAACACTGATAATATACATAGGAAAAATTAACTCTACTTTACTTACTTACACACCTTTCAGATTATACTCACGATTTTATAGTTGTTATTTAAAGTTGTTATACTGTATAGTGATACATAAAAAAGTGTAAGCTATTATTGTGACTGGAAACTTGATTTGTTATGTAAATCTGTTGTGTGCTGTTCAGATGTGACAAATTTTGGTACCTCCTGTAAGATGTGATATGAGATATTCCTATTGGAAGTAGTTTTGTTTTACAAATTTGTGTAAATATCTGATAAACCCAGTTAGAGTCAAGATTAGATAATTTTATCATATTATGGTGAAAAGATAACAAGTATATTATAGAAGATATCTCTTCAAGAAAACAACAGACCAAGAGAACAGCTCATGACAAAGTCTACAAGATTTAGTAGATTAAAGTAACCTATAATATAATAAAATCCTTACAAATAAAAAATTAATGATGAAGTCTATTGTGTCCAAAATCTGTGTAATAAAGAAAGATTCAATCTGTTGTAAAAACATATAACCAGAGTAATAAGTCATAATGAAAGCAAAACTAACACTCTAATTAGGAGGCTACAAGATGTCTTTTGTATATAAAATAATATACAAATACTAATATTCTATGGAGAAAGTCAAGATCCTATGGAATGACTTGAGAAATTTTAACAGGTCAGCAAAAAAAATCAATAAACTGATGAGTATAGGTTTCACATAGTCATTGGGTACCTGCAAAATACTGCAAGATAATAGTTTGCTAAAATACAAGAAAGATAAAATTCCATTACATATTGGAATACCGGAGAACAAGTTTTATTTGAACTATTATTTTTAATCACTTTTAAGACTACTGTACTCATTAATTAGTGAAAATTTAAATTGCAGATAAAAGTACAGAAATTGAATGAAACCATGAAGAAGTATGTCAATGATATTAAAAAACTAATAAAAAGAATTGATAATAAAAACAGGTGGAATAATAATTAAAAGGTTTAATAATTTTTAAAAGGATTATGAAAAGATATTATTTATCAGGCCTACTTCATCAGTAATTATATTAATTTGAAAACCTTTGAAATTATATTGCAATGTTTGATTTCGAAGGTTATCAATTGTGTCGTAACCCTTCAAAATCAAAATTTAACAGTTAAATTTTGATACATATTATTTCATTATTGAAAATTTTTGCAGTTCAATGCTAAATTTTTTAACAATAACATAAACTTTCAAAATTTAAAAGCTAGTATTTTAATATAGTTTGTTTCAGGTTTATCGTTTTTAAATTATTTCGAATTTAATCGTTTTAATTATAATTCAATATATATTGTAGAAAATTTTATTTCATAATATTTTATTACTTTCTGAATTTTTACATAATTTATTATTAATTTTATTAAAAGATGATAATAATATTTTATAATATTTTTTTCTATTTTTCTATACATTTTTATATGATGATGCAATAATTTAGGATAACTATTTTCTATATAATTCTTAAATATGATGCAGATTTCTATTTTCTGTAATATTATATTACTTGATACTTCTTTTCATCTTTATTCTTTTTAAAGATAATAATATTTTTGTTTTTTTTGTAATTTTATGAAAGTTTAAAAGATGTTTATTTACTTTTTTGAGATTTTTTCAAATTTTTTTCAAATTTCTTATAAATTTTCTATTATAATAATTAAAGTTAATATTATTAATTTGAAT